CCCGCCGTTCTCCAAGGCCGAGTATCTGAAGCGTTACCTGTCCCGCACAGATGCCGGCGTCCCCGGGGCTTCCGAGTCCACTGCCAAGCGTCGCAAAAAGCGGCCTAAGCCTGGCGCTGCGGGCGGCAAGGGGTGAGTTGGCCTGGCGGGCTCGCCGCCCACCCTCCAGTGCCCCTCGGCCCCGCGCTTCCTCCTTCCGCGGGCTCGGCTCGCCGTGCGGAGGGCTCCTCGGCGCCTGGCAGAGCCCCGCGCCCCTGGGCCGCCGTCTCGTGTCCAAGCCGGGCTGTGACCTGCGTTACTCTTTCTCCGCCTTTGTAGCCTTTGGTCGCCCCCGTGGACAGCGCGTACTGGGCCCCGGGACCATGGCGGAGCTAGACCAAGCTCTGTGCCTGGCACCTGGGCTCCGAACCTGCAGGGGTCCCCCAGGCCGAGGACTCGCGCCCTGGGCGGCCCCGCGCTCACTTCCTGTCCCCCCGAATGCCTCTGCAGCTGCAGCCTCCGCGTTGGCACGGCTCGCGTCCCGGCAGGCGCCGTGCGCGGTGTTGGGGCGCGAGCGAGTCACGCTGCGCCCGGGAGGCAGGTGGGCTAGGATGGGCGCGAAGTCTAACATGACTGGTGTCCCCTTAGGAAGAGAAATCTGGACACCAACAGGCATAGAGGGAGAACGACCCTGTGGAGATTAGAAAGCTTCCCGTAGCTGAGGTTTCCTGGGGCTCCCAGAAGTTGGAGGAGTCAGGGACAGATTCTCCCCTGGAGCCCGGTGGGCATTGCCTTGCAGATACCTTCCCATCTCAGATTCATGCCTCCAGAACTGTGAGGGAATATATTTCTGTTGTTTTAAGCCGCCCAGTTTGCCCTAGGAAACTAATACCCACTAAAGTCAAATAATCCCAAAGAACTGATCCATTTTCTTTCCCGGTTTGGTTCTTGCCTTATTCTTGCCTTCTGTCTTCCTGCTCTCAGGCTTGTGTGGATTCTTTGGAAACAGTGCCTTGTCCTGAAAAGAGCTTGAGCTTTGGAGCAACACTGATCAGAGTCTGAGTCCTCGCTGTGCCGCTTTATAGGCTGTGTGGCTTTGGGCAAGATCTTCCATCTCTCAAGCCTTACTTTCCTTATCTTTGAAATGAGAGTAATACTGAATGGTATTACTTATACCAAATGGGAACTAATCACACGGAGAGGCAGGACTCCTCAACATCAGTGACAGAGCTATAATTAGAATTAGCCAGGTTCAGTTTGTTGTGATTAGAGATGTATAAAGTGATCTTGGCTGTTCAGATAATAATCTTCACATTGTGGCAGTCATTGTTATTATTTGTAGTCGTTCATAGTTGATCTGTTTAACAAACGTTTATTGAATTCTTCTTATGCCAGTTACTGCAGGGTGTTGAGGATACCACTCTGAATGAGAAAGTCAAAGCCCCTATTCTGATGGAGCTTATAGTTTAGTGGGGCCTCAGGCTTTAAACAATTAATTATGCAACTAACTGACTTATTTCCTTTGTGACAGATTAAATGAAAGTATTCCAAGAATGTGTAACAGGCTCTTAGATGGGGAGTTAATGGAGAGTAGTTAGGAGGGTATGCTCAAGGAAGTTATATATTCCTGTATGCTAGGATCTTAAGAATGGGGAAGAGTTTCCCAGTAAAGAATGGGAAGAGGTTAGGCAGAGGGAAGGAACTGAGTATGTGAAAACTGATGTAGACCATGCGGGATCTTGTAGGATTTTGAGCTTTATCCTAAAACCCATGGATAAGTGTTCGTAGGCTGCTATCCAAGAATGTTTCTCTTTCCCACATTTAGAATGCGGATTGTGGATGATGACGTGAGCTGGACATCTGTCTCCACTGCTAACCCAGGACAGGAGGAAGAGGAAGAAGATGGAGATTTGCCTGTGGTACGTCTCTTTTGAGGCTGTAAGGACTTTGAAACTCAAGCCTTTCACTCTTGACTCCCAAGGAAGGGCAGATTTGTGAGAGGGAAAGTTGGGCAGAGAATGCTTCCAAAGAGCTCTTTTAAAATAGGCTTCTTTGATGATGTCTATACACTATCTCCTTTGTTTATAGAGGGGCCCATCAAACTAGAAATGGGAACTAATCACAGAGAGAGGCAGAACTCCTCAGCATCATCGATAGAGCTATGATTAGAATTAGTGAGGTTCAATTTGTGGGAATCTGCCTTTAAAACAATGTTAAGGCTCAGTTGTAGAGGACTTTATCTTTGTTTTTTATTCATTGATTCAGGTAAACTTTAAAATTTGTATACTCTTGTCTAAGTTCTAGAGATTTGTAGATTTATAGAACATGGTGTCTGTACTCTGGAGGTCATACTCTAAAATGGGAGACTGACTTTCAAATAATTTCAGTAATATGTTAAATGTTGGAGCTATATTTCACATATGTACCAAGTGCTATTAGAGCATAGGGGAAGTAGCACACTTTTTATTCCATTGGGAAATTCCATGAAGGATGTAAGTGTCTGACATGAGTTTTGAAGGATGAGTAAGGGCCAGGTGGGCAGAAGCGTAGGCAAATAACCTAGCATTGGTGTAGTCAGGGCACCTGTGCTGAGAACAACTGAGAAGAGGGTGAAAGGAGAGCTGCTGATAGGCTGTGTTATGGTAAAGTTGTGAAGATGAGTGTATTTAATGCTAGTTCCCAGCATATTCTATAATAGATAACTTAAAAGATGATTTGTTAGTAATTAGAAAGGAAATAGTGAGGAACCAGTTAGTTTCAATTAGAATTAATCACTTAAACCTGATTAGAAACCAGTTAGTTTTTATTCTAATTGAAACTAATGAGTTTCAGTTGATTCTAATTGAAACTAATTAACTTTAATCTTAAATCTAATTAATGTTTACAACATTTATTTCTATTTTTTATTTTATAAAAGCAATATATACTTATAGAATACTTGGTAATTTTAAGAAACTTTAAAGGTTTTTTTTTTTAATGTTTTTATTGATTTTAGAGAGAGGGGAAGGGAGAGGGAGAGAGAGAGAAACATTGATAAGAGAGAGAAACATTGATCAGCTGCCTCCTGCACGTCCCCTACTGGGGATCAAGCCCGAAACCCGGGCATGTGCCCTGACGGGGAATGGAACCAGTCACCTCACAGTACACGGGATGATGCCCAGCCAGCCGAGCCACACTGGCCAGGGAAAGACACTTTAAAGTTTTAAAAAGAGTATAAAAATTACTTATACTGCCCAGCCGGGCGTGGCTCAGCNCGGCTCGCGTCCCGGCAGGCGCCGTGCGCGGTGTTGGGGCGCGAGCGAGTCACGCTGCGCCCGGGAGGCAGGTGGGCTAGGATGGGCGCGAAGTCTAACATGACTGGTGTCCCCTTAGGAAGAGAAATCTGGACACCAACAGGCATAGAGGGAGAACGACCCTGTGGAGATTAGAAAGCTTCCCGTAGCTGAGGTTTCCTGGGGCTCCCAGAAGTTGGAGGAGTCAGGGACAGATTCTCCCCTGGAGCCCGGTGGGCATTGCCTTGCAGATACCTTCCCATCTCAGATTCATGCCTCCAGAACTGTGAGGGAATATATTTCTGTTGTTTTAAGCCGCCCAGTTTGCCCTAGGAAACTAATACCCACTAAAGTCAAATAATCCCAAAGAACTGATCCATTTTCTTTCCCGGTTTGGTTCTTGCCTTATTCTTGCCTTCTGTCTTCCTGCTCTCAGGCTTGTGTGGATTCTTTGGAAACAGTGCCTTGTCCTGAAAAGAGCTTGAGCTTTGGAGCAACACTGATCAGAGTCTGAGTCCTCGCTGTGCCGCTTTATAGGCTGTGTGGCTTTGGGCAAGATCTTCCATCTCTCAAGCCTTACTTTCCTTATCTTTGAAATGAGAGTAATACTGAATGGTATTACTTATACCAAATGGGAACTAATCACACGGAGAGGCAGGACTCCTCAACATCAGTGACAGAGCTATAATTAGAATTAGCCAGGTTCAGTTTGTTGTGATTAGAGATGTATAAAGTGATCTTGGCTGTTCAGATAATAATCTTCACATTATGGCAGTCATTGTTATTATTTGTAGTCGTTCATAGTTGATCTGTTTAACAAACGTTTATTGAATTCTTCTTATGCCAGTTACTGCAGGGTGTTGAGGATACCACTCTGAATGAGAAAGTCAAAGCCCCTATTCTGATGGAGCTTATAGTTTAGTGGGGCCTCAGGCTTTAAACAATTAATTATGCAACTAACTGACTTATTTCCTTTGTGACAGATTAAATGAAAGTATTCCAAGAATGTGTAACAGGCTCTTAGATGGGGAGTTAATGGAGAGTAGTTAGGAGGGTATGCTCAAGGAAGTTATATATTCCTGTATGCTAGGATCTTAAGAATGGGGAAGAGTTTCCCAGTAAAGAATGGGAAGAGGTTAGGCAGAGGGAAGGAACTGAGTATGTGAAAACTGATGTAGACCATGCGGGATCTTGTAGGATTTTGAGCTTTATCCTAAAACCCATGGATAAGTGTTCGTAGGCTGCTATCCAAGAATGTTTCTCTTTCCCACATTTAGAATGCGGATTGTGGATGATGACGTGAGCTGGACATCTGTCTCCACTGCTAACCCAGGACAGGAGGAAGAGGAAGAAGATGGAGATTTGCCTGTGGTACGTCTCTTTTGAGGCTGTAAGGACTTTGAAACTCAAGCCTTTCACTCTTGACTCCCAAGGAAGGGCAGATTTGTGAGAGGGAAAGTTGGGCAGAGAATGCTTCCAAAGAGCTCTTTTAAAATAGGCTTCTTTGATGATGTCTATACACTATCTCCTTTGTTTATAGAGGGGCCCATCAAACTAGAAATGGGAACTAATCACAGAGAGAGGCAGAACTCCTCAGCATCATCGATAGAGCTATGATTAGAATTAGTGAGGTTCAATTTGTGGGAATCTGCCTTTAAAACAATGTTAAGGCTCAGTTGTAGAGGACTTTATCTTTGTTTTTTATTCATTGATTCAGGTAAACTTTAAAATTTGTATACTCTTGTCTAAGTTCTAGAGATTTGTAGATTTATAGAACATGGTGTCTGTACTCTGGAGGTCATACTCTAAAATGGGAGACTGACTTTCAAATAATTTCAGTAATATGTTAAATGTTGGAGCTATATTTCACATATGTACCAAGTGCTATTAGAGCATAGGGGAAGTAGCACACTTTTTATTCCATTGGGAAATTCCATGAAGGATGTAAGTGTCTGACATGAGTTTTGAAGGATGAGTAAGGGCCAGGTGGGCAGAAGCGTAGGCAAATAACCTAGCATTGGTGTAGTCAGGGCACCTGTGCTGAGAACAACTGAGAAGAGGGTGAAAGGAGAGCTGCTGATAGGCTGTGTTATGGTAAAGTTGTGAAGATGAGTGTATTTAATGCTAGTTCCCAGCATATTCTATAATAGATAACTTAAAAGATGATTTGTTAGTAATTAGAAAGGAAATAGTGAGGAACCAGTTAGTTTCAATTAGAATTAATCACTTAAACCTGATTAGAAACCAGTTAGTTTTTATTCTAATTGAAACTAATGAGTTTCAGTTGATTCTAATTGAAACTAATTAACTTTAATCTTAAATCTAATTAATGTTTACAACATTTATTTCTATTTTTTATTTTATAAAAGCAATATATACTTATAGAATACTTGGTAATTTTAAGAAACTTTAAAGGTTTTTTTTTTTAATGTTTTTATTGATTTTAGAGAGAGGGGAAGGGAGAGGGAGAGAGAGAGAAACATTGATAAGAGAGAGAAACATTGATCAGCTGCCTCCTGCACGTCCCCTACTGGGGATCAAGCCCGAAACCCGGGCATGTGCCCTGACGGGGAATGGAACCAGTCACCTCACAGTACACGGGATGATGCCCAGCCAGCCGAGCCACACTGGCCAGGGAAAGACACTTTAAAGTTTTAAAAAGAGTATAAAAATTACTTATACTGCCCAGCCGGGCGTGGCTCAGCGGTTGAGCGTCGACCTAGGATCCAGGAGATTGGGGTTCGATTCGTGGTCAGGGCACATGCCTGGGTTGCGGGCTGCAGCTGATCAATGACTCTCTCATCATTGATGTTTCTCTCTCTCTCTCCCTGCCTCTCTCTGAAATCAATAAAGATACATTTAAAAAAAAAAAGAAAATTTATTAAAAAAAAAAAATTACTTATACTGTGACCATCCAGAGGTAACAACTTCTAACATTTGGATAGCTATCTCTTTAATTCATAGATTGTACATACTTTAATTTTATTTATTTTTTTCAAATATAATTGGGATCATACTGTACACATGGTTTTTGAGTCTGCTCTTTCACTTAATATAGTGGGAATATTTTGTAAGACTTTAAAATATTCTTTGAGACTATGATTTTTAATGGTTGCATAGTAGTTTAGTATACATATTATTTTAAAATGTTCTATTATTGGACACATGAGTAATTTCCTGTCTTAAAATATCATAATGCTTTGATAAACATCTTGTACATAAATCGTTGTAGGAATCCATTATTTCTTTATTCCCATGAAGTGAAATTACGGTCCTTTTGAGCTATAGTCCCATGTTGCTTTCCAAAAGGTGGTACCAGTTCACACTCCCACGAGCAGGGTATGAAGATGCCAGCTTTTCCATTTCTCCATCAATACTTGAAGATTATTTACAACAACAAAACCCATGGCAAATCTATTCCAATTTGGCAGGTGAACAGTGGTATCTAGTTTCTTTGAATAGTGAAATGAATAATTTTTCAGATGTTTGTTGGGCATTTCTGTTTTATGAATTTGTTGGTATTTTTTAGAAAACTGGGATTTAAATTTTTTTCATTGATTTATTCGATATATAATAAAAATATATTATTTGTTTTGCATGTCATAGGTATATTTTATCATTTGCCTTTTCGTTTATAATAGTTTTGACATTTAAAAACTATAACTTTTATGTGGTCTTCTATTAATTTTCCTTTATAATACTGTCTTTTGCTCCTATGATTGCCCCAAAACCAAAACAAGGAAGGCTTTAGCCCCACTGCTCTCTCCACTGGTTAAAACAGATCTTGGTTATTGACTTCATTTTTGTTACTGCAAGACCATCACCACCCCCAGTAATAATGCAAAATAGCTAGGACAACACAGTAGCAGTGCAGCACAAGAACAGGAGGTTTAATTTCTTAAGCGTTTACCATGTACAAGCACTGCAAAATTTATATGAACTATCTCATTGAGTCCGCAGAGCAATTTTTGAAACCTGCTTTTACAGATGGGGAAATTGAGGCTTAGAGAAAATAACTTGCCAAAGGTTACACAAAGCACCAACTAGCAGGGCTGGGGATTTAGGGCTCAGTTCATCTTGCTTGAAGCCTGTGCTTTTAATGCCCAGTGAGAGGTCTCAAAACTAGGTTACATGAGGAATGGTGGTAGGATCTTGGGAGAAGAGAAGTAGAGAGGAATTATGACCTGGGTTTGAATTCCAGTTCTGCCACTTGCTAGCTTGTGACATTGAGAAAGGTACTTAACTTCTCTGAGTCATAGTTTACTGTTCAGTAGCGTGGGCCCTTTCTTTGCAGGACTATTGTGAGGATTGAGAGAGATAGTAAAGCACAAAACACAGTGCTTTACACATCACATAGTTGCTACTCTGTAAGGGAATTTATTATGCTAGCCATCTTTGAAAGTCTGTCGTATGGAAAGAGGATCAGTTGTCAGAGGTCAGAACTAGGGTCAATGGAAAGAAGTTAGGTAAAACTAAGAATAGCACAGCCCCCAAATGCAGTAGGCTGCCTTGTAACATGGTGAGTTCTCTGTTAGTGAATTGATTCCCTGACAGGGAGGGACTGGGTGAGTAATCATTGATCGAGGATACCATAAAGAATCTCCACATTTGTTTGGGAGTTTGGATGAAATGAAATGTGTTTTTCTCTCTTCAAGATTCTATGATTCTGTGTACATCTTTTTTTTTTTTTTAAATCCTCACCCAAGGGTATTTTTTCCATTGCTTTTCAGAGAGAGTGAAAGGGGCGGGAGGAGAGAGAGAGAGAGGGAAAAGGAGGGAGGGAGGGAGAGGGAGGGAGAGAGAGAGACATCGATGTGAAAGAGACATATCGATTGGTTGCCTCCTGCATGTGTCCTGATCAGGGCCAGGGATCCAGCCTGCAACTGAGGTACGTGCCCTTGGCCGGAATTGAACCTGGGACCCTTTAGTCTGTGGGCTGATGCTCTAACCACTGGGCAAAACCACTTAGGGCTTTGTGTACATCTTAATGACTTCTTTTGGTTGGATTCAAAACCTATAACAAGACTGCCTATAACAAGAAAGGTTTCAGAGGCACCTGAAGCCCAGAGGCATGATAAGAAGTCTGCTTGTGTGTCCACTCTGAATGCAATATAATAAAAATAAAGAGGCAAAAGTAAAATGGTCAAAGGAATTTAACTTTTATCTTACAGGTGACGGTTGTGTCCCTGGCAAGTTGATAAAAAGGTTTGTAATGAATGAAATTGACCTTAGGAGGGAAATTGATTAGTCAGAAAAAGACTTAGAATTAAACCATCTAGTGACAATCAGATTTTTGTGAAGCACATACAACTTAGGACCACTGCATGTTTCTTCGTGGCTGTTTTGGGTTTGTGTGTGCCATGTGTATTAGGAATGGGAATGGTTATAACTTCAGGTTCTCAGGACAGCAGTGCTCCGTAGCTAGATCCTGTGGATTTCCTCAACATGGTATCCTCATTGCCGCAGGTGGCTGAATTTGTGGATGAACGACCAGAAGAGGTAAAGCAGATGGAAACCTTTCGTTCCAGTGCCAAATGGAAGCTTCTGGGAGGTGAGTTCCAACAATAGATAATCTAAATTTCCCATTTACAGGGGAAGCCTTTCTTTCTTTCTTTTTTTTTTTTTAGAGGAACGTATAGTTTGTTTTAGTTTGTCACTGATCCTGAAAAATATAGTTTGAAATAGAATTCAGAACTTCTTCAGAGGTTCTGACATGGGAACTGAGAGACCAGGTATCCCACTTTTTCTCATATTTTGATACTAGAGTTACTGGGGTCAGGAAGTGACTCATTTGGGGGCCTTTCAGCACCCATTCTTTTCTGGCCCAGAATAGGTGACTACAGGCAGAACTGGGGAGGTTTACAAGCATTTGAGAAACAGAGTTTGGAGACTTGTACTTCTGTCCTTTCTCAGAATGAAGCAACTCATGTATGGGTCAAGGACCATTGTTCTCTGTCCTTTGTATTTGTATTAGTAAATCTTTATTTGTTCTTCCCTTAAGTATTAGTAGATTGCGGTGCATTATCCTTCACATGCCTATTCTACACTCTTTCCCTAGGCCAATAATTTAATTCCCTATTTAAAAAAATCTTTGCATTCTTGAGTTGGACGAAGGGCACTTGTCATGTCTGGGCATAGATGGGACCAAGTCTATTTTCCCTGGTATTCCCCCAGCCCAGCTCAAGGAGGTGCCACTAATCAGTATTTGTTGAATTGCTAAGAGGTATTTGATTCTTGTAGCTACTGCTCCTTGGTAAATCATCACTTGAGTCTTAGAAGTCATTTCCCCTTTTCCAGCAACCTACTAAGGGACACAGACTAAGAAATATTTAGTCCCAGTGAGTCCCAGCCCTGGTCCCAGCAGTCATGCAGGCTCTTTGTGGCCACTGGAAGTGTGCTGGTTTTTAATTTCCTGTGTTCATTCCTTCATAAACAAGGACCTTGCTGCTGCTCGATGGTGCTTTAATTCCAGTTTACCCGCTGCTCATTCCTTTTTCACATATGGAGGATTGAAAGGGTTCACTCTATACTTTTTTTTTTTTTTAATATATCTTTATTGATTTCAGAGAGAGGAAGGGAGAGGGAGAGAAACATCAATGATAGAATCATTGATCGGCTGCCTTCTGCACACACCCAACTGGGGATCGAGCCCGCAACCCGGGCATGTGCCCTGACCGGGAATTGAACCGCGATCTGCTGGGTCCTAGGTCGATGCTTAACCACTGGAAAGGGTTAACTCTAAACAGGACTTGTTCTTTCTGTGTTATACTCTGTGCCTTTAGGTTAATTATCCTTGCAATTCTGATTAGAAAAAGTGCATAGCACAAGTGGCAGTTGGTTATAGGTTAGTGATCACTATATTCTCAGTTAATTTTCAGTATGTTATTTTTATGTTTTATGAGTGAAAACTTCATTATTCGCATTCTTTTATCAGGATCCTGTTTAACTCTTTAAATATTTTTTAATTTTTCAATTACAGCTGACATTCAGTAGAATAGCAGTTTCAGGTATACAGCATAGTGGTTAGACGGTTTTAATTATTATTTTCTGTCTTATCCTATCGTAGTGCTTCAGACTTTTCCATAATCCTTTTTTCAAACACAGTCTTTGGGTTTCCATATATGTAGGCCTAGGAAGTCTCTCTCTCTCTCTCTCTCTCTCTCTCTCTCTCTCTCTCACACACACACACACACACACACACACACACACACGCATGAATAGTTCTTTTTGTTTTGCCTCATTCTCACTGCTCCATCCTCATTTGTTGCTGGAAATATCCTCACTGATCTCTGACCCTTTCTTTTTAATAAAAATCATGGAATTTTTCAGCCTCATGGATTAGATTTACTGTCAGGTCTCCCACAGATATCAGTACTTTTCTCTGAGGGGTGGATTCTAATCAGATAGGCCTATTCCCCAAAGTAATGGAATTAAATTGGTATAATTCATCCATTTAAAAGTACTCATTGGGTCCTACCCAGCTTTTATTTTTATTTGGGCCATGGAGCTCAATGTTAAAAAACGGAGAGGAGAAACTAGGTTTTGGAATGTCCTGAGTTGCTATCAACATTTCTTTCTGTTATGCTTTGAAAACTGAAAGTTTTAAACTCGGAATTTCCTGAACTACATTTTTTTGATGTACTAGAAATTAAAAAAAAAACATGTTTTTATTGATTTCAGAGAGAGGAAGGGAGAGGGAGAGAGAGAAACATCAATGCTGAGAGTCATTGATCAGCTGCCTCCTGCCCCTTACTAGGGATCAAGCCCAAAACCTGGGCATGTCCCCTGACCAGGAATCAAACCCTGACTCCCTGGTTCATAGGTCAATGCTCAACCACTGAGCCACGCTGGGTAGTACTAGAAATTCATTAAATTGTATACTTTAAATGGGTGCATTGCATGATATTTGAATTATATCTCAATAAATGTAGCAAAAATAAATGAGACAATTAAGGAAATAAGATTGACGGATAAGTTAAGATACATGATGATTTATTGTTATTTTTTAAGAATTGTTAATTTTTAGGTAAGATAATGGTATTGAGGTTATATTTATAAAAAAGAATTTTAACTTTTAGAAATACTATATGGATGAAATAATTTAAAAATCACTCTTTTGACCTGAAGTATCACCCCACTTTAATGCCCCCCCACTCTTAAAACCAAATTCCTCCTCCAAATTACCCATCCTCCCTCTCTCCAGTTCTCTTGTTACCGTTCTTTTTTGAACCCATTCCCATCAGGCTTTCATCCTCACTACTACAGTGTGATAGCCAGTGGTCATTTGTAGCCCCTTGGCAATTGACTTGGTTGCTCTTCCTGATTTCCTTTCCCAGTTTCCTCTTATTTCAGTGGCTGCTCTTTCTGTCTCCTGTTTCATTATCATCTCACTCCCTAAATGCTTGAGTGCTCCAGAGACCCTTAGATAATTTTCTCAAATTTCTGTCTACACTGACTATCTAGATGATCTCCTGGCTTTAAACACTCTCTACATTCTGGTGTCTCTCAGATTTACATATTCAGCCTGGGCCTTTATTCTGAATTTGACTCACGTATCTGCCTTCTTGATATTTCCATGTGTTAATTTAATAGGCATTTCAAACTTAACATCTCCAAAAATAAATTTATCTCTTCCCAGTCTTTACCATTCAGTAAATGGCAACTCTATTCTTTCAATGACTCAGGCCAAAATTTTGGGGTCCCCTAACTCTCCTCTTTTTCTCACACCCTATATCAGTTAATTCATCAGATCCTGGGTACCATCTTATCTGAATATATGTAGGTACCACATCCCCTGCTTGTGCTTTGATCAAGCCACTCACCGCTGTTTCTCACTCAGAGGACTCCAGCAGCGTCCTGAGTCACCCCCCTCTTGCTCCCCTACAATCAGTTCTCAAAACAGAAGCTAAAGTGATTCTTTAAAAATAGAAATCAGATCATCTTCTCTGCTCAAAACCTTCCATTGGCTTTCCTTCTCACTAAATTCTCACAATGGCCTAAGTCCCTACTTACAGTTTGCATCCTGTTACCCATGACTGCATTTCCTGCTTTTCCTCTCCCATACTCTGCTTCTGCCACCCTGACCTCTGTTTTTAGAATGTTCAACCACATATTTTTAAAGATTGCACATGGGCTTTGGAGTCAGACAGATCTGGATTTGGATGTTCACTCCACCACTATTAGCAGTAAGACTTTGACAAATTACTTAATCTTTTTGAGTGTCAACTTTCTTATCTATAAAATGAGCATGATATTTGTTTCCTAGGCTTTGAGAATTAAATGAGGTACCTGTATAAAACACCGGCGTGTAGTAGGTCGTCCGTAAGGCTGATCCCTTTCCTCTGGTGATCTCCCCCCGATAAGGACACGTGGCATGGATTAAGTAGTTGGCAGCACTCATTTTGATGTGGCACAGGTTTAGTCAACATGCCTTTTGAAAGAAGAGTGAGTACAAACTGGAAATTATCTAGGTTAAATTTCAGTAGGAGCCTCTGACTGGGAACTCTGCACACATAATGTTTTGGGAAGAGCATTAGGTTGGGTGTTAGAAGACTGGGTTCTAGTCTGTCTCTTCATCTTGGAGCTGCGATCTTAGGTAAGAAACCATTCAGCTCCTTGGAGCCTCTGTTTTCTTGACTGTAAAACAAGATGCCTGCCCCACTTGCCTTACAAGGTATTATGTGAAAAATGTATTTAAAATGCTTTGCAAATTTATGACTTGTTAGACAAATAAGACATTATTTTTAAGATGTTCATAAGTGCTGGTTTGCTGTCCCTAAGCAGAGGAGCTGTGCAGAGTAGTTTGGGGCTTTCTGAGTAGTTCTGAAGTGTATGCTGCTGGGGCATCTTTTGAAACTTTGGGTTCTGGTGGTGAACACAGCCTTTGTGGGAATCAGACTCTTTGCTGTTTGTTTTTAGGCCACAGTGAGGATCTAACTTCACACAGACATTTCCATCATGACTCCGCGGATTCATCTCCTTCTAGAAGGGTCTGTCATGACACCCCAGATCCTTCTCCGCCTAGGAGGGCCCGTCATGACACCCCAGATTCTTCTCCGCCCAGGAGGTCCCGTCATGATTCACCGGATGCCTCTCCTCTCAGGAAGCATTATCGTCCTTCAGGTGTATCTCCTAGGAGGGTCCGGCATGACACCCCAGATCCATCTCCTTCTAGGAGGGCCCGGCATGATACCCCAGATCCATCTCCTCCTAGGAGGGCCCGGCATGATACCCCAGATCCATCTCCTCCTAGGAGGGCCCATCACAGTTCCTCGGATATCTCTCCCAGTAGAAGGGCCCATGACAGCTCCCCTGAGACATCTCAACCCAGAAGGACTCATAACTCCTCGGACACATCACAGCTCAGGAGGGCCCGCCATGACTCTCCTGATTCACTGCCCAGAACCAAAAGCAGTAAAGCCCCAGAAAGAGCCTCTAGCAAAACTTCTCCACATCGGAAGAGGCCAGGACCCTCTCATCCCTCAGTCCCGAAGAACAGCAAGTATGAATGTGACTCGGACCTTTCTCCTCCACGAAAAAAGCAAGCAAAATTCCATTTTGGAAATAAAGAGCATGATTCTAAAAGTGAGCATTGATTGTCCATGAGAGGGACTTGTTCCCTGGGTGCTTTATTTTGGATTTTTTACTTGCTTTGTTAGGTACTTATGTCTTTAGAAATGAGAGTGGAGTTTCTTTGGAAAAGTTTTAAAAACTGTAGAGAAATGGTGAGAGGTTGGGCTGAAGAGAGTTAAATATTTATAGTGGGAGGGAAGAAGTTTTTATACATCCTTTTGTTTTTTATTCTCTCCACCCTACATAAAACTGCTATATGTTTGTTGTAGAAGCTTCAGAATGTCTAGAAATATATAAAGAAGCATAGAAAAGGTCATACAAAATTTTGCCATTCAGAGGCAATCACTGTTAGTGTTGTAGCCAGTGTTCTTTCAGTCTTTTCTCTGTTCATTTTTTTAAGATTTTTATTGACTTTTAGAGTGAGGAAGGGAGAGGGGGAGAGAGGCGAACATCTATGTGAGAGCAAAACATCAGTCATCTGCCTTCTGCACTCCCCCTACCAGGGATCAAGCCCACAACTCGGGCAGGTGCCCTGACCGGGAATCGAACCAGCAGCCTTTTGTTTCGTGGGACTATGCCCAGCCACTGAGCCACACTGGCCATGTTCCTTATTCATTTTTGGTGTAGTTGAGCCCTCTCTACACACTGTATAAGTATTGCGTGCATTATCTTCCCTGCTTTTTTCACTTTTTATTAACTTTCCCGTGTTATGAAAACCTTTCTTAATATAATTTTTATTGCTGGTGTATTACATACATTTACTTAACCATTTTCCTAATACTGCATATGTTTAGGTTATTTCTAAATTTTGCTTTCATAATTCTATAATGAACATCTGTGTACATAAACTGTTCCCATTCTGGATTATTTCTTTTTCTGCTTCTAGTTAGATTTCCTGGAAACTAAGTACTTCTAGATATGTTTCCTAGGAAACTAAGTAAAAATTGATTTACCAGGTTAGAGGTTGTGTGTTTTAAAGATCACTGATACATACTGCTTTTTTGGGAGGTAATTTGTGATGCCTGTGTGCATAAATCAGGCCTGTGTGATGAAATATTTTACTCCATCTTTTGTCCCTAGTTACTGTTTTAATTTTTAAATACATTGTTATCCGTTAGTCTAAGGACTTAGGAATATATTGTGGGTAATTTTAACTTTTACCACACCACTAAGATGTTAATGCAGGTTACTTTGCCCATTCTGTGTGTTGATAAATATGACATAGGTGCATATGCTGAGATCTCACACAGTAGTTACCATCACTAGTAACTTGGGAACAGAGCCCCACACACATCCTGTCTGTTGGTTTTAAAACTGTCTCTGACTGCTCTTCTCCGATGTCATCTGTAGTTGTGTTTAGGTTAGTGATACAGGACTAAATGAATGTTGAACATTAACCCAGTAAGTTCTTTTTTAAGATTCTGACAAGGAGATTAAAGACTTTATTCTTTAATTTCTAGGCTCTTCACCCAACCATAGGAAATTTCATACAAGTTCTTCACCTAGAAGATATCACAGTCACACGTTGGACTCTTCTTCCTACCCAGGTGTCAGTCGGAAAGTCTCTGATTCAGATCTTTCTCCTCCACGGAAGAAACAAAGTTCAGGGCACCAGGATTCTGATTCGGATCTCTCACCTCCACGGAATAGACCTAGACACCAGGGCTCTGATTCCGACCTGTCTCCACCTAGGAGGAGACAGAGGGCCAAATCCCCTGATTCCGACCTCTCTCCACCAAGGAGGAGACAGAGGGCCAAATCCTCTGATTCCGACCTCTCTCCACCAAGGAGGAGACAGAGGGCCAAATCCTCTGATTCTGACCTGTCTCCACCTCGAAGGACTCAGCCTGTGGGAAAGAAGGTAGGAATTTTCAGGAGCTGTGTCTTTCCCTTAGAGTGACTCTTATCTTTGAGCTCTATACAAGTCCCTGAAATCCAAGCCAGTGGAGGAGGAGGTAGGTCTTAGTATAGCAGATCTAGTTGAGAGGACCTTTTGAGCTCTTTCCTCTCTGGAGGCAGGCCTGCCTGTAACCCAGCCCAGATGAACTTGCAAATACCAGAGCTCTTAGGTAGCTTCTGCCTTTGTATCATCTTAATTCCACAAATCTTATTTTATTGGTCTAGAAAAACTTCCTGTTTTCCTAGGAATAAGCTGAGAACTATAGTTTACAGAGTGGAGTTAGGAGCACAAACCTTGAGTCAAACATACCACAGATTTGAATCCTACCATTTACACTTTCTGTCTGAAATTTGAACAAGATACATAATATCTCTAAGCCTCAGCTTCCTCATTGGTAAAATGTGGATAATAGTATGTACTTCATAAGGTTATTGTGAAAATTAAATGAGTTACTGTGAAGTAAAACTTTTAGCACAGTGTCTGGGACAAAGTAAGCATTTGGAGTAAGCAATTTATTATAATAAATTGGAGTGCAGGTCTCTGTATCCAGAGCTTAAAGAGAGGCACTTAAAATATAAAACTACTTTGCCCTGGCCGGTTTTGCTCAGTGGTTAGAGCGTTGGCCCACTGACTGAAGGATCCCAGGTTTGATTCTGGCCAAGGGCACATACCTTGGTTGCAGGCTCGATCCCTGGCCCTGGTTGGGGCGCCTGCGGGAGGCAACCAATCGATGTGTCTCTCACACATTGATATTTCTCTCCTTCCCTCCCTCCCTCTCCCCCTTCCACTATCTCTGAAAAGCAATGAAAAAAATATCCTCTGGTGAGGATTAAAAAATATATATAAAAATAAACCTACTTTTAGAAATCATATCACCTGTAAAGTCAGTGTTTTATTTATTTGAAATCTATGATGAGGCCTGAGTGAGAAAAAACAAAAGTCCACATGAACTCTGAGTAACTGCTTTGTAAAGAACACCAGTACTAACTAGTCAAGGAGTCTTATTCCAGTGAGTTGGTTAAGAAACAGAACAATAGAGCCTGTAGCATGCACACCGTCCTCCGACACAGACTTTTTAGGTAAATCTCCTCTGGCCCACAGCTTCCTGGCAGGGTAGCCTAGCCTGTCCCTAACCCAGGGAGTGGGGTTCTTGTCTTTTGGGTCACAGAGTCAGGGCTGGGTTTCAGCTGGACCCCTTGACATTTTATGTATCTGTTTAGTCTGTGGACAATTTAATATTGATCAAATTTAGCACATGGCTTAAGAATGTCAGGACATACTGTATGTTCCATTTGTGGGTTGATTTTTTATTTTCATATAAGGTAGAGTTTAGTAAAATGTTAATTTGGTCATCTCTCTTTTTTAAAAAAATATATCTGTTATTGATTTCAGAGAGGAAGGGAGAGAGAGAGAGAGAGAGAGAGAAACTTCAGTGATGAGAGAGTTATTGATCCGCTGCCTCCTACACGCCCCCCTGCTGGGGGGACCGAGCCTGCAACCCTGGGCATGTGCCCTGACCGGGAATCGAACTTCGATCTCCTGGATCCTAGGTCGATGCTCAACCACTGAGCCATGCCCGGCCCGGTGGTCCTATCTTTTCATTATCCTGAAATATATCCATGATTTAAAGATCTCAGGTTTGAGTTTGTATTTTAAGTGGAATATTTTATCAGTGTGAGTCTCTACTGGAGGGTTTAGAGCTTGATACAGGTTTCTGCTCAGGTGCCTGCGAGTGAGTCCTCATGTGTGCAGTTTATATGCTGAAAAATCAGAAATACAGATGCTTAACCTTCCCTTTAATATCGTCTTGGTTTGTGTTTTTGTTTACTCTTGAACTTGGTAGTACTATTAATTTTCCATGAAATTTAATTTTATTTCTTATTTTCTATTTTGTGAATCCTGTGGCTGATAATAAGAATATAAAGTTAGAATTTTTGATTTGGTTATTGCTGTTCTTCAGACAGAATGCACTGTGTCTGCCCAAGAGCCTGCTGCTGCATTGTCTCATTAACGTTGGATGCTCCCTTTTCCATTGCATAGGCGGCACACATGTATTCTGGGGCTAAAACTGGGTTGGTGGTAACGGACATACAGCGAGAACAGCAGGAACTCAAGAAACAGGACAAGGAAGCCTTGGCATTTGAAGGTAAAAATGCGAAAGTGCAGAGACCAATTGAGGCTCATGCAGCTTTTCTTTTTTAAATGTAGCTTATTGTACCTAATATTTTAAACTTTGAATTGCTATCAAATTTCATCTCTGGTTTTTATGCATTATTTTAACTTCTCAGTGGGTCCAAGTGGTTCTTTTCCTTCTTGAGAAATAATAGTTTTCAGGATCATCACCAAAAGGCACTTAGGTATTAGTAGGAACTACTTGTAGTCTGCCTGCAGAAGTTCTTATTTAGCATTAGAATCCCAAGTGGTTGATTTCAGCTATTAAAATGATTATTTCTGATTTTGATACCTGATGTTTATCTTTAAAAGCATAATTTTCCTTTGTAGCTGAATTCCAACATGCTGAAACCGTATTTCGAGATAAGTCTGGTCGTAAGAGGAATTTGAAACTGGAACGTTTAGAGCAAAGGAAAAAAGCAGAGGAGGACTCGGAGAGAAATGAGCTGTATGCCCAGTGGGGAAAAGGGTAAGGGAACCACTGAAAGGTAAAGCAAGACTACAGTGACTGGAGGGAGTTATTTCTCTACTCTTCTGACCAGCTAGTGTATGTGCTGCCTTCAAGCTGTTTTCAGGCCCTGGTGGGTGGCTCCGTTAGTTGAGCATCGTTCTGTACACTGAAAGGTTGCCAGTTCGATTCCCGGTCAGAGCACATGCTTGGGTTGTGGGCTCCAGCTGATCTATGTTTCTCTCTTCCCTTCTCCCTTTCTCACTCTCTAGAAATCAATAAAAATCTTAAAAAAAAAAGTGTGGGGCTGCATGGCTCAGCTGTTGAGCATTGACCTATTATCCAGGAGATCTCAGTTTGATTCCTGGACGGGGCTCTTGCCCAGGTTGCGGGCTCGATCCCCAGCTGGGGTGTGTGCAGGAGGCAGCAGACCGATGGCTCTCTCATCATTGATGTTTCTCTCTCTCCCCCTCTCCCCCTCTC